GTGGATTTGATCTTACAACTGCTGGTCTTCTGACCTCGCAACACAGAGGCTTCTGCGATTTAACCCGCAGCGCCACCACGTCCCTTGAAGTCATCAACGGGTGGCAATTTTTTTCACTAATTTAAAGAAGTGCTACTATATTTGGGGTGGGGGGATACCTAGTGTCTTGTTGTGGATAAAGTGATGGCAAAAAGGACCCAGGAGGCCTGGGGTCGAATTCTCACTCAGCCATGGAAGTTCACTGCGAATGTGGATCTGGTAAAACCTCTCCTTAAACATCTCATTTACCTTGAAAGCCCTATTAGAGTTCCTGGAAGTCAGTTCTGACTTGATGGCAGATAACAAACTATTTTTATTGCTGGATGAGGGGAGAGATTTCTTCTAGTTTCAAAATAATCTGACTGGCTTTGGTACTATGAACTTTAAAGTGGGTGGGGGGTGTCATTTGCTGTTCTGCTTCAAGGAGCAAAATACCTTGGGCCAGCCCTGGATTAAGGCTCTTTCAGTCTGAGATTATTATGTTGCTATAAAGTCCAGGGGTTTTATTAAACAAGGAGCATCCATTATTTCAAATACTTCCATGTGTTATTTTTTTTGTTTGTGTGTGCGTGTTTTTTTAAATATTACATAGCGTCATTTCTGGAAAGATCTTGTGCAGGCTGGAAGACAGGATGGACAAACGGGGCTTGTCTCTCCCTCCCCACCCGGGTGCGAGGCAGTGCTTCATCAGGCGAGGACGAGGACCCGAGAGACCCAATTTGTCCCAAAGGCCAAAAACACAATATTCTAAAAAGAGAATCTTCTCCACCTGGGTACCTTGCAGATATGTTCAAGGATAATTTGCCAAATCCCTATTCAGCTGACTGGGAATCATAGGAGTTTTAGTCCAGCACATCCGATGAGGAAGGCTACCTTAAAAACTTGAAGTGCTGTCTTGTTTTTGAGTTGATGCTGATCTTGATCCTGACCATGGTAATGAGAAAACTGGAACACACTCCCTCCAAGTACAAGCAGTTTCCAGTCTTGCTGCTTGTAGGAAAGGGTGTGACAAAGCAACTTCTGAAAATGGCTTACAATATTGTTTAATTTATTCTAGTGATTTCAATTGTATGTGTACTTAACTGATTTAAAAAACTATTATAGTTGTATTTGGTTTTATCTGATATTAGTAATTCTATGGTTAATTGTGAAGATTCTCAGTCATCCAGGTGAAGTTATCTGGAAGTTGAGTCATGGCAACTGGACTTCTTTCTTGTTAGGTTGAAATGTTTCACTACTCATCCAAGTAGCTTCTTCAGACTGAGGAGAGTTGGTAAGAGATCCCTGATACACCATATTTTTCTGTCTATAAGATGCGATTTTTTTCCTAAAATCATTACCCTAAAAATTGAGGGGTGTCTATTACACGGAAATAAGCTGAGATAGCGCAGGAGATACAACAAAATGGCACATACCTTGCCTCTGTAAACAGGCTTCCTTCAGCCACCAAGCTTCGTTTCCTACAGTCAGGAGACTTAGCTTCCTCCAATCATGAGCCTTATGTAACTGATGTCAGCTGATCCTGAACAAACCAACTGGAACACACCTCCTTAGAGGTGGAGCCTATAGGCTCAAGATTCAACAGAGACAAAATATCCAACATTCTGAGCCTAGAGGCTGAATCCTCAAAACTATGTTTTCTTAATTTGGGGGTTAGAAAATGGCAGGGGGGGTCTTATAAATGGGTGTATGTTATAAATGAAAAAATATGGTATCCTCCACATTGGTTATACGGTTAAATATACTTTTGTTTATCTTTATTGTTTTCTGATGACTGTAAGCCACCTTGGGCACTACCTAATAGTGGAAAGGTGAGGCAGGAATGTTAACACCATGCTGTGTCACTCTGCTCCAAGGACCTTAGAATCTACATTAGCCATTGGAAAGAAAAAGACCATGAGGCTCAAAGCAAGGATAGTTACGAATTTAGAGTAAGTTTGGCTCGTTTTAGAGAAGATTTTATCAAAGTACACAAGAGGATGCAACAAGATTTTAACATGTGGATGTCAATGTCGGGAGGACCCTAAGGTGACAAGAGTAATGCATTCAGGCTCATCGCTTTCATAGCCAAGCACTTTAAAATCTAGGTATCAATCCCAGTTTATTCCACCATGTTTACGCTATTTAAAGGTTGCCACCTTTTTCTAGTTTCTTCCTCTCAGAGGCTCCTCTTCTTTTACAACTATATGTTCAGCTCATCCAACATGGTCATTTCCAAGCTAAAAAGAGCTGCACCTGTTGAATTTGGCTGGTACAGAGGGGTGAAAATTTCATTTCGGTTTGGTTGTGATGACCTGGAGGTCATCCCAGGTATAACCAGAAACTACACATCACCTGGTACCGCTTAATGTGGATTGCACGTCTCCATCCCTTTTAATCTTAAATCAGTGATTCTAAGAACTTCAGCATCAAGTTGCTTCCCCTCTCTCCATTCTATCCACCTCTCCTAAACCTGTCTTTTGTAACACCTTATTTGACACAGTGATGGAAGCCATATTTGGACATTTGTCTCAAATTATGGCAGGCTCAATGTCTGTGGTGGTGATCTGGGCACACACATAACGTATCTCACAATCACTTATACCTGCATGCACTGAGCAAAAAGACTACAGATACTGTAAAATTAAAAGTGCATTTGCCCGAGTTTTCATGACTGGGAATACTGATGGAGTAGGGCTCCTTATCACAGGAGGTTTGTAAATGCACTCAGCCAATCAAATCAATAGTCTTCTCTGAGACTAGCTTATGGGTGCAATGGGCACACCATAGAAGCTTGGCTTACATGTATAACTCTGCCCCCAAAACCCACTTACCCGTCACTCCCAAAGTTTAGGCAAACATTTGAATAGAGCACTAGAAATCTCAGAAGCATGCACATTCTGGCTGTTGAGATACCAATTTTGTGCTATGGATCATTGAGCTCTTATGAAAAGTTTTCTGCTTCCCTGCACAAATGCAATTTAAATGACTGAACTGATGAAACCAAACAGCTTGTGTGGTGAGATCGACAGAGGGGTCAAACTGGATGACACAGATCGCATATTGTTAGAAATGGGAATTCCTCTGGTGCTGAAAGACACCTGATTTGTCATAGGTAACTTCTTCTCACCCCTACAGACCCCTGGTTAGTTTTGTGGCTGGTCATCCGCAGGTAAACACAATGTTTGTTGGTGAGTCTTGAATGTTTAGCCCTCAACTTTTTTTTTTTAAAAAAATGCATTGCTGAAAGATAGTGATGTGTTTTGAGCTTCTAACACCATAATCTTTCTGGCATTTAGTCTGACCCAGAGTTGCAGCGAATTACAGCATCAAGCATATGAATGATATATATTTTGATCACAAACATGCTTCCTCAAAATCCTATCCATCTGCTGAATATACTGAGATTTACATTAAAAGCTAAGTGGAAGTAGAAGTAACTAAGAACACCACCAGTGGAAATGAAAACAAGGCCAACATTTTGTATTAGAGATCAAAAAAGGGCAAAATTGTGGGAAGCTTTTGTTATCTGTTTTCAATGAGAGCAAACTCTTCTGGCAGAGAAGCAGCGGCTGCCAGCGGGTGGGGTAACTTACTCATTCTGCCTTTTCCCTTAGAGTTAGATCAAAAGTTCAAAGGCTTTCTCCGGCCAACCCTAAGTGGCGATTAGGTAACTAGTGTCCTAACTGAATTCTTTCAATATTCTGTGTAATCGTGCTATGTTAATCAATTGTACGGTAGTTGGAGCATTCTTTGGCACTGCCCTTCTTTGGGATTGGGATGTAGACTGATCTTTTCCAGGCCTCTTTCAAATCTAACCTCCATTAAGTGTGAACTGTGCAGTATTTTTGCATTTAGAGACTGTCAGTACAAAGCTATTATCTAAAACCCTTCAACCATTCCCATGACAAAGCCACTATTCAATTTAGTGCATTCTACATCTAAACAGAAAACATTCCCCCACCTCCAGTGTGCTGATCTTTGCAGCAAGCAGAGAACAAAGAACAAAAATCAAAGCACAATATGGCAAATGAGTTTGTAGAACTTTTGGGTATGTTTTCCCCAACAATAGAATGTACTGTAACACCTCTGAATCACTATGAAGTCTGGCATGGCATCCTACAGATTGTAAGCTCTTGTTGCAGAGTCATACCCGTGACTCTCAAATAGGAAGGAAGCATGCCAACCAGTGGGATATAGGCATCCTTCATACTCAGAAGCCTGTTTTCCATTTTGTTTGGAACAGAGCTGAACCATACAACTAATAAAACGGGGCAGGGCAAACCTTTAGTAGGGCAGATATTATGGATATTAGTTCCCACAATCCTTCGTAATTGGCCACGCTGGCTGGAGTTGAAAGCAGCTGAAGTCCAAATCATCGAGAAGGTTAAGGGTGTCTCATCCTTTTTACAAAACCTACTACCTTGGATCTAGACTTAAAGAGGACTCATACAAGAGTGAGACCCCTTGTGAAAAAAAATGACAGTGTCGTAGATTTGTTAGCATCATGCATTTCAATATATCAATTCATCTCTGTAGCAAATTATTCTCACACAATGTGAAAACAACAGAACAATGACAAAAAGTAAAGTGAAATTCCTTGCAGGCTTTCTTCTGCTTGGCATTCAAAATTCCAGTGTTCCTTCCAGTACTTCCTGATTGTATAGACATTATATCCAGGCCTCAAATGATTCTAACATCCCTTGTGAAGTATTAAATTTCTGCTTTTAAAATTAAATAATCATATTGTGTTCTATAGATTTGTATGTTTTCCATTCTATCCTATAAAGCAGCATAAACTTTATATATAAATATTTAAAGAATATTTTGCAAACAAAAATGCATTTAGTAAATCACATATATCTGTAAATTTAGACTCTGCATCTGACTTGCAATAAATGAATGCTGTATAATTTGGAAATTGATAATAAAACAAAAACAAAGTCGTAAGCCGAACATGCAGAGATTTAAAGTGATCTTACCCGGCTTTATGAGGCTTGTCTTTGTTTCCTTCTTATATCGAGCTGATTGTTGAATTCCATCCCCCATTGTTCCAGAATTAAATTTATTTCTCGTGTAGTCTCCTCCATCACTGCCTGTACAAAAACTGACTGGACTGTTTCCAGTATCAGGAGGAGTCTTTACCGGAGATACAGACTGGCTACTGGGGCAGCCCGTGTCATCTGAAAAGAGGAGACAAAAAAGAGAAAAGAAATAGCCACAAGAAATGTTATTGGCTGGATCACATACAGGTGGGCAATGAATCAACATCTGGGGGCATGGCTCTTCTTTTCCAAGAATGCATGTGCCTGCCACCTTCAATACTGTGTTCAAATGCAATTCTGTGCTTTCATTTTCTAATGTAACAAGGAGGAGGCATAATTAGTGAGCGGCAGATGAATATTTGGGAGTGTGAAAACTGTAAAAGGTCACAATTCCTTAAAGTACTGTCTCACACCAATGATTTCAAAATCAAAGAGAACATACTGAAACAGTGCAGTAAAATCCATGCCCTTTTATTTAGCACTGTAACTTGAAAACATCTGACTTGTGCCAAGGAGAAAAAAAAGAAAAAGAAAAAAAAAGGAAAGAAAATTAAATACAAGACAGTCAATCACAATTATAAAAACATTGTCTGGTATTATATAACAGATACAAGTTTTAACCAAAAAAACCCCTAAGTATCTGTTAAATATCGGTGCAATATGTATGCTGTTCCTTGCAGGATGGTGTTATTTCTGAGATCTGCAACTGCTTATAATACTGTGTGAAATTGATATTGTTCCCAAAGCCCCAATGCCTACGGGGACCACTAAACTGTGTTTCATCGACAAGTGAGATGTTTTGATTGCCTGTTTTCTGTATTTGCTAGTTTTTCCAATTCTTTAGCTTCATCTCTGGCATACCCTAGAATTGCAATGTCAATGATCCAGACATTTCTTTGTTCTACTACTATGTCTGGTGTGTTATGTTCAAGGTGTCTATCCGTTTGGATCTGGAAATCGTACAAGATATTTACTTATTTTCTGACACCTTCTCTACTTGATGCTGTCGTGGATTTCTGGAGGCTGGTACAAGATATTAACTTATTTTCTGACACCTTCTCTACCTGATGCTGTCGTGGATTTCTGGAGGCTGGCAAGTTATATTATTTGCATGATGACCAGTGCACTAATTTTGCTACTCCATCATGTCTAATCTTGCAATCTCTTTGTGTAATCTTTGGACATTCACTGATGTGGTGTGACACAGTTTCATCTTTTTAAAGCAGAGTCGACATTTGCTGTTAGCGCTAATTCCTTGGATCTTAGCTTTTGTCACATTGGTTTGCAGTGCTTGTTCTCGTGCAGTAAAAATCAAGCTTCAGTTTATTTCTTAATGGTCCCCAGTTTTAGACATGCCCGTGTTAAATTATTATCAAGCTTTTCATCAACATTTCCAAGGTATTGCCCATGTAGTGATTTATTTTTCCAACTGTTTAATTTATTTTCAAATTGTTGTCTTTTATATTGAGCCTTTGTTTCTGTTGTTTTCAAAATATTCTCCATTTTGACAGCCTTAAAGTAATTTTTGTCTGCTTGTGCTGATATAATTTTTTCCTCCTCTACTACCTGCTGTATTTGCAGTAATCCACACCATCCAATTTTCTGTGGTAAATATAATTTATCTTTGGATGTACTGCATGATGCATGTTCATTAGTTTCTGTGTTTTTCGCTCCAATTCTTCTAATTCATTTTGGGTTCAATCTATTATTCCAGCTGGATATCTCATTACTGGAACTGCCCACGTCTTTATGGCTTTGCTCGTATTTCCACCATTTAATTTTGATTTTAAGATTTTCCACAATCTTTTATTGTATTCCCTTTCTGTGAGTTCTTTAATTTTCAGTTGCAGGATGTTATCTGTTTCTAGTTTTCCAAGATATTTATAATTTTTGTCACTTGATAGTGATATTACGGTATTGCCATTTTAACTCTATTACATCTTCTTCTTGTTGTTGAAAAATACCAGGCACAGTCAATCAAAATTATAAAAACATTGACTGGTATTATATAACAGATACAAGTTTTAACCAGAACCCTAGGAATCTGTTAAATACCGATGTAGTATATATGCTATTCTTAATATTGCCAGTTTTTATAGCTCTTCTGAAATCTGCAACTGCTTTTAATGCTGTATGAAACTTCTTGCTGCTGTTATTGTTATTGTTGTTGCTGCTTTAATTGTACTTAAATAGTATGCAAAGGGGCAATTTTCCCTGCTCACTTCTAACTGGATCCTTGGAAATGGAGACTTGGCTAGGGAGAGGTATTACTCATATAATCCAAGCCAATATCAAGGGGCCCCTTTGGTGCTTGCTAAGTTGCAAAAGAGTGAAGAGTGAAGGCAAGAGGAGAAGAGGAAGAGATGGTTGGACAATGTCATTGAAGCTACCAACATGAATTTGTCCAAACTCCGGGAGGCAGTGACTAAGCTGCAAAAGAGTGAAGAGTGAAAGAATGAAGGCAAGAGGAGAAGAGGACGAGATGGTTGGACAATGTCATCGAAGTGACCAACATGAATTTGTCCAAACTCCGGGAGGCAGTGGAAGACAAGGGGGCCTGGTGTGCTCTGGTCCATGGGGTCACAAAGAGTTGGTCATGTCTTAACGACTAAGCAACAACAAGCTGCAAAGGGGCAGTGCCCATTGCCACTCTACGGATCCAGAAAAAGAAAGGTTTCCAATGGGTGACATGCCTCTGCCACATTTCTGCACAGCTTGGGTTTCCCAGTCTAGGAGGAAGGAAGTGGCAGGCTCTATTCTACCTCTCAAATTCCCAGATCCAGATGGCTGAGAGCTCATTTATGCATCTACTCTCTGTTGCCAGAGAGATTCCCAAGCTGTATGGCAGCAGGATGCTTGCTCAGCCCTCAGCCCCCTTGTTTTTCCAAGCTATTGGGGAAGAGGCACTAGTTGTTCCACCCTACCAAAATTTCAAGGCTACCTTTCCAACCCGTTACACATACTCTTTCTCATGTAGAATATTATTGCGGCTCACCATCTGTTGCTGAACTTGACATCTGAGGAGGAAAAAAAAATCACAACTCCCATCATCCCTGAACATGAGACACACTCCTTAGTACTGGGGGGGGGAGTTACACCCCAGCAACAGCTGAACAATTGCTAATTGCCCATTCTTGCTCTGATTTGTACCAAAGATTATTCTGATTGCAATCTATATTTAGTGCAAACCACTGTTTGCAACATCTAGATGAAACAGCAAACTATGCTTTGCTATAAATTAATAATAGAAACTTCTAATTTATTTCCTATGTGCATAAATGCTCCATGTATCTATTTATTTCTCACCTTTCTGTCTTGAAGGGTCCAAGGAGGCTTAAAACATTTATTTAAAAACAGGAACAACGAAAAACACAATGAATTACACTCCTCCCTTGAAATGCATGGGTCTGAACAGAATGGTTTTAGATATATCCAGATTATTTTCAATAAATAAATTAATATTCCAATAAATAAATATTAAATAAATATTCAATAAATAGTGTGTCCTTAGACACCCTGAGCCCCATGAGTTCAACAATGAAGGGATCAAAGTGGCCTACCTGCCCCCAAACACATATCTAATTCAGCCTCTAGGTTGGGGAGTCATAAGGATCTTTAAGGCTCATTACATGTGGTATGGTATGGAAAGGATTGTCAGCATGATGGAAGAAAACCACAATAGAAGTGTTCTCTCTCTGTGTGTGTTACTCAACTGGTTATACTTTACAGTTATGTTTTTGGGTATAGGATTTCCATGGATTTTGAACTACACAGTAATTCAGTGCCCACCCTTGTTGAAAGGAGAAGTATACAATATTACAACAGTATTAAATGGATTATCCAATTTTAAAAAGGCACACAACAAATGCAGTTTAAAACCAGCTTAAATAATTTAGAAACAGCAACAGCAGCAGGACAACACCTGTTGAAAGGTCCTGTTCCATGGCCAAAGGCCTCTTTAAATGAAAAAAGGCCTTAGCCTGCTTAGAGAAGGAATCCCCTGGCTCATCACAGATAAGAGTAGACATCTTCAATCCAAGTGCAAACTAACTTCACATGCAGGGAAAGGTGTTCAATGTCTTCAATTGTACAGCAATCCTACACACAGGATTTGGGACATAAGGCCATATAGGTTCCCAAGTGTAACGGAATTATCTCCATTCAAAGTTTTACTGCTAAAACACAACAATTCAAATGCACGTTTGCCTTACATTGGGGATGGGGAGGCTTTGGCTCTCCAGCTTTCTTGACCAATGCCCATGATAACAGATTTTAAGGGTCTGAAGTTCAAAATACCTGGGGCCCTATCCTTGTCCTACAATGATGCATTCCTTAAAGCAGGTCAAGATATACAGCTAGAAATACTCAACTATCCAACAAACAGCAACAGAGCATGGACAGAGTTCCTACTCCAGTCCTCTGAAGATGCCGGCCACAGAGACTGGCGAAATGTCAGGAAGAACAATCTTCAGAACATGGCCAAAGAGCCCCAAGAAACCACAATAACCATCTAATATTATTATTTCTAAATTAATTTTTTTTCTTGTGTAATCTCCTCCATCACTGCCTGTACAAAATCTGACTAGACTGTTTCCAGTATTTGGAGGAGTCTTTACCAGAGATACTGACTGGCTACTGGGGCAGCCCATATAATCTGAAAAGAGAAGATAAAAAACCAGCCACAAGAAATGTTATTGGCTGGATTACATAAAAATGGTATTATTTCTGAATTAATTTTTTTTCTTGTGTAATCTCCTCCATCACTGCCTGTACAAAATCTGACTAGACTGTTTCCAGTATTTGGAGGAGTCTTTACCAGAGATACTGACTGGCTACTGGGGCAGCCCATATAATCTGAAAAGAGAAGATAAAAAACCAGCCACAAGAAATGTTATTGGCTGGATTACATAAAAATGGGTAATGAGATATGATATGATAGTAAAGGTAAAGGTTCCCCTCGACAATTTTTGTCCAGTCATGTTCGACTCTAGGGGGGGGGGCTCATCACCGTTTCCAAGCCATAGAGCCAGCGTTTTGTCCGAAGACAATCTTCCGTGGTCACATGGCCAGTGCGACTTAGACACGGAACACTGTTACCTTCCCACCGAGGTGGTCCCTATTAATCTACTCGCATTTGC